TTGAAAGTACAATGCTTAAATATGAAAAAGTAACATAATTTTTATTGAAAATAAGTACAATGCTATTATTTCGAACAAACAACTTTCATGACTAAGTGCTTAATCTATTAAGCATTGTAATGGGTTCAAAATCTGATTGAAAGTGTGGAACAAAGCTTTATACCCTACTATATTAGGTTAGGTCGGTATACTGAAATCTCAATCTTTGATTGTGAAACAAAGCTTTATACCCTACATTGTCATCTTCACCGGTAACCATGTAGTAGTTGGCACCAATTAAATGTTTATTTATGTAACAATGTTTCCGTATTCTTTTACCAATTTATGCAACTTATACAAATAATCTTAGATATCGGAATGAGTGTCATTAAAGGATATTAATCAACAATTAAAAATAAATGATTAAAAATTATTATAAAAAGATTTTCACATTCTTTACAAATAACCACGTAATGATTATACAAATTCCTCAAACTTTCAGTTGACACGCTTCTAAGATCTTTCTTAAAAACTAATCATGGCTATACTTAATAGAGAAAAGGTAAAACAAAAACATTATAAGGGTATTATTACCACAAATCCCAGCAACAAAACATCATAATGATACACAAACTTAGATTTTTTTTACTTTAATTATTTCTATTCTGCCATTTGTGTGACTACGGTGTGATAAAAAAAAGTACAAAACTTCTATCATCACAACTGGTTTCTCAGGTGTAAAAATGTGAATCACTTGATCCTTCACCATATCCTGCAATAACATTGATGTTTAGTTTCTAATAACTGTTCCATAACATTTTTTCCTTTCTGTATGTGTATTTTGCTCATAATAACAATGTGTTAATGTGGAAAAAAAGTGAAAATGCAACGTTATAATAAAAAAAAATGTTATATTAAACATTTGAATGGAGTACCTTGCTATTTCTTGCATGTCTATTCTTCTGCATGTTCAGTTACATTAACCGACTGTATACACCAAATTTCACCAAAAAAAATATGAAAAATAAGACAAATAAACATCATTACTGAACTAAAGCCATATCTAAATTAATTTTGTTTGGTTCTGATGTAACCAGTAGAATATAATATTTTTTTCTCACTTAAAGAAAATTAATTTTAAGATTGAATTCAATTTGTATTTCAAAATTCGAGCACATGGACAAACCCAAAGAAAAAACATGACACTTGATAGACCAAATTGGCAAATAATTAAACACAATTTAAAAGTAAGAAAAATGATTAGTTAACTTAATAGACTTCTGTCTCATCCTTTTATTCCCACCAGATCAGATTCAATGCAACCAAAGTGTCATAAATTCAAAAATAAATAGTAAGAGAAAATAATTAACATAAACTTACATTGCATTGTCATCTTCTTCAAAGTTCAAATGGATGGTGATGGTCTACCCTATTGTAGCTTTTCTGGGGAGACGTGGGCAGCAGCAAATTAACATCATGTGAAAAAACCTCCACCTAGTTTTGGTAAAATTCCGAAAATGCCCTTATTCCCCTTGACTTAGGGTAATTTTCCCAGCAAATTTAATGACTTTTATCTACCATTTTGCCTTTTATCTTATTAACATCATGTGAAAAAACCCCACTTAGTTTTGGTAAAATTCCGAAAATGCCCTTATTCCCCTTGACTTAGGGTAATTTTCCCAGCAAATTTAATGACTTTTCTCTACCATTTTGCCATTTATCTTATTAACATCATGTGAAAAAACCCCACCTAGTTTTGGTAAAATTCCGAAAATGCCCTTATTTCCCTTGCCTTAGGGTAATTTTCCCAGCAAATTTAATGACTTTTCTCTACCATTTTCCCTTTTATCTTATTAATTTAATAATATAATCTTAAATTTAGGATGTTACAGTATTGTTGCATTCAGAAAGAGATACTCTCTTCTCAATAATAGCATCTAAAAGAGGTTATGATATTTTCAGAACAATTCCAGTATAAGAAGTCATCATGACAGAATCTTTAGTGCCAAAATCAGATTTATTGCAGGATAAATGGAAAAGTATCATATTATCCCTAAATTTCTCAAATTGTTATCTGATTGTAATTCTTGAAATCAGAATAATTACTTAAGAAAAGAAAATCCAAACACCCCTTTTTATATTTGCTCCAAAAGATATAATGAATACCAACTACTTCCTACTTTGAACTTTGAAGTAGTGTTTGGGATTTGCAAAACATACCTTGAGAAATTTGAGTCTAAATCCAATGGCAACAACTGGAAACGGAGACTTATATCAACAATTTAGGTGAAGAGTCTTCTAAAAGTGGAAGTCATGAAGCTGTAACCATTTCGCCTTAAAAATGCAACCTCATGCCTTGCTTCCACCATGTCCATGCCTCCAAACATTGTATCTTCTCCACCCAACAGATGACACTATGTGCACATACCCTTGAAAGAAAACGCTCATATTCACACTAAATATTAATATCACTTTACTGGAATTTGGCAAAATTAAGTGTGTGATCTTTTATAAGAAGATGTTAAACAAAAAAATTGACAAAAAAGTACAATGAACTTACCTGATATGGTTCTTCCAAGATGGGTTCATTCATCATTTAGGCGTGGAATCAGATGCTTGGATTTTTTGTCGTTCTTTTGTTTATTCAAGTTCATCTTCAGGCTTATTTCCTTCAATTAATTGGTTTCAGCATACCTGCTAACAATTTCTATTCCCAATCTGTAAAGGTCATCAAGATCAATCAACATGAAAAAGACAAAGTATAAAAAATCGACATAATTATTAAAAAGAAAAGCCATTACCTCAATGGGGCAACATGTTCAACTATTTCGAATTCTACAACAACGAAATCAGCAACTTTGATGTTACGGGTGGATATTGATGACAATTTTAATTACTAACCTAAGTTCATACCTTTCAGTTGATATCCACTTCCCATGAATCTATCAAAACATAGCAGAATCACTGGTATACTTTTGGTTTCCAACTTCTTAAGCTACAAATCTAACTACATAGAGCAAATAATTTGTCAAAAGGGGTAATTAGGTTAATAAGCTTCTAGTCGTTACCTTATTGTTCCAAGATATCCATTTCCCTTTCAACATCTTTTGATCTGCACCAATTCTGCCAAATAATAATAATAATAATAATAATAAGGGTGAAGAGGAACATATGATCGATTGAAAAGGAGAGGAGGCGGTATACGAATTCGAAATCCTTGAAACTTACCTGCGATCAATGTGATCGTATCAGAAGAAGAAAGAAAAGGAAAAAAAAAGAGCGAACCTGGAGCTTGACGCAAAGAAGAAGGAGGGTGCAATTTTGGCTGATTGTGGTTTGTCGATGAAGAACATCGCCTGGTCCATGATTTGTTGAAGCAATAGAACCGATTAACAAAATTACTTCAAAGAGTACTCTTATATAGGCCTCAATAGGCTGATTTGTAGGACTAATGGGTCGATAACTATAAGAACGTGGGAGGAATCGAAGCAGAAGTTACATAACTGCGAAATTCAACTATGATTGAAGCATTTACAGTGAAATTCAACTCTTATATAGACAAGACAGTTAATCAAAACCACCTGATTTCTAGCAATCATGGAATCGTGTGGTGCAGTTCTTGATTAAAACCAATTTGCGGTTTAGGGTAAAAGTCGGAGGCGTGCTGCAGTTTAATGTAGTTTCCAATTGAATTGATTCTTGAGGAGACAACCGGCAATTGTGTAGAACGTGGGTAGAGACGCAATAGTACAGAATCGTGGGGAGAAGAATCAAGAGACGATGAACTGCAAAAAAAACCGCCAAAATCGAGTTTATGCGGCTCAGAAAGAACGTGGAGTTTAGACGGCTGAGATTTGGAGATTTGGAGGATGGCAGTTAGACTCACCGTAGTGAATAGAATAAATAATATCACCAACAGCAAATAAATGGAGATGGTGCAGTGAAGAATCTGAAACCGAGCAAGCTTGACTTTTTAAACACAAACGACGTCGAACGTGGATAATGCTATAAAATGACCTCTAAATTCTAAGGGTGAACCAATGGGTTAAAGAATTCTCTAACCACTGGGTTTCGGTTAATATAAGTTTTGGTTATCGAATTTGGTTGTTGTTTAATCAGTTAACCATTATATATGATTCATTTTGTGTAGGTCCTTATCGTTATGATCAAAATCAATCTATTAAAAAGTAGGGATGCAAAGGTCTCGACTAAAATCTAAAGATGAATAGCATTTTAATAAGATCAACCAACGAGAGTGGCAAGAAAATGATTATAAAATAACAACTCAAATTAGTTCCAACTATTGATGAATGATCCAATATCATATTTTGATCCTTAATTAAAAGCAAACACGAGAAATTGAAAAGGCTATTACAGACTATTATACTAACAATAAATTTAAAATGAAAATGGACTTATTTGGGTTTTGCCTCCAAGTTGCCTAATCGGCAACCAGTAAATTAATTAAATGCATTTAGAATTATTAATACTGTGGACGACGGTGAGTGGAAAACCATCGTCCCAAATCACAGCAGTTCAAACTCCTGCAACTTTTAATCTCAGCCATTTAAACTCCTTATTTACGGTTACAAGACGGTTCCAGCAATCGGTTAATCGGAGATTCAGTCGTCTTTCAGCACGCTTCCTTCTTCTTCTTCTCCCCACGTTCACAGTCGGTTTATCGATCCTTCCAACAATGTTTCAATTATGGCACTTCTCCTTCTTAATCGGTAACTGACCTAACCACGATAGAGAAAAATGTCGTATATAATGATCGGAAGATGTTCAATGTTTCTATGTTTCAAACAATCTCTTGAATTGTTTCATTTGATGTCAACAGTTATGGAAGATGATATTATATCACCATAATTTGTGTGTGGTAATGGAAGATGATATCGAAAGGATATGCCCAATAATGCCTAACGCTTCCATTCATGAATTCAGAAGGACTTCAACAATAGCACAAATTAGGTGACTTACATAGGAAAGTGGTATTCAAGGCTTCGAGTTGTGGGCTTGGAATGAAAAAGAGAAAGCATTTTCCTTCACTAGGGTGTCTTTTCTTCAAGCATATGTTCAAAGCTCAACAATTTGTTTGTCCATTCCATTCAAATCAATCCATGGGGTCAGCTTTCAAGGTACCTACTACTTTTCTTCGTCGTTACGTCTATTGTTGTTGTATACTTCAACTTTAGATTACGTGTATGTAATCGGTCGATTTCCCCTACGTTCACCTTCTGTAAAATTAAGAATTTTTTCAATTTCAATTGGACCTAAGCTAATCAAATGGAAATCCGGGGAGATAAAGAAAGATTTTCAGTTTTATAATGCATTCTATTTTGGGTTTCTGTTCCAATTTCATGTTTTGATCGATTCTTTCAAAAGGTGTGGGATCATTGTCGAGCATTGAGGAGTATTGTAGCACAGCAATCCTGGCAAACCCTAAATATGGTAAGTCTTTATCAATGTACGTTGATTTGATATGGGAGACACAAAAGGATGGAATTCGTACAGATGATTACTTTGATCGCTAAACATCTTCACAACAATTGAAAATTTTTACCTTCCTTTTATGTATCGAATTTTGGTTGTCAAACTAATTTTTGTTCATTTGATCATCACACAGTTATGTAATTGCTTCATATGATCGGTTTCTTTGGGATGCTGATGAAGAAGATATGGAAGAAGTTTCTAATATGAATTTATTATCACCAAGTATCTTCCAGGAAGGTTCACAGAGATTTCCAGTAAGAATGTATCATCACCAAGTATTTTCCTAAATCATAACTTTAGTAAGAGAGATCTTAATTAGTAACTTTCGGACTAAGTCATACAAATCTGTAACAGGTGAGAAGATTATGACTCTAGGTAGCTTTATGGCTTTTAGTTACAACATTGTTCTCACAAGGTCATTTTTCACCTACCAACTGTCATCTAAGTGCACAAATTTGCATTGCAGGGTTTAGATGGAGTCGTGAAACTGCACTTGGGCATAACTGAATTTTACATCTAGAAGAATCCCAGCTAAGAAATAAATTCAAATATTTTTATTTTTATTTTTTTAGATCTATGGCTTTCATTTGATTCCCTTATTCTTATAGTTGTATACCTATACGCAGACTTTTCCTCATCACACAACCATTTTCCTTTGTAATCTGTAATATCCTACTCGAATATCGACATAATAGATCAATTGGCTAATTAGACTTGGTAACAATTTTGATTTAAATTCCCTTTTGACACAAAATGTGATTTTGGGTATTGAAATATGCTTCATCTGAATCTAAGTAAAAATAAATGAAATACTCATTTATATGTGACCTTTAAGAACTTTTATCTTTTTGTTTTGCCAAATTCTTCATTGATCGATGTCCTTTTGATGCATCAAGTTACAAAATCAACAAATTTCAATGAGCTTGTAGAGATGGAACAATGGTTATCTTCATCTGAATTTGGAGAGATGTTAAGGGAAAGGTTAGAACGAAAAAGAAGAAACATGATGAAGATGGACAAAAGGACGTGATGTAGCAATGGAACATGTTGATAATGAAGAGGTATTAGGATTGGAAATCCATACAGATACCATGTTAGGGGATCAAATTTCCGATGGATGATCAACTACTTTCAATGGGTGCAAAATAATAAAATTGCTTTTGGTTGGAATTGTTGTTGGTGGAATTCCTTATTTAGAAAAAATAAGGATGTCTGGAAGTACTGCTCTCCTGTTGCTATCGGAATGTTTAAAAAAAGGAATGAGTTTTCTTGGTAACTAGATAGAATTTGGTTATTTTGATTTGGGTATTATCGATAGTTGGCTCACTTGGTTAACTAAAGATAAGGGCTATGTTTTTGCGATTTTGAATGAAGGGTATTTTCGTCCTTTTTGGAAAATAACAGATTGTTGTGATTTATTTCTGTATTGCTGCAAGAAGAGGATAGGGACTTCATACACAGGGATATCGGTTTGAGTGTAATTCTTCAATTTGTTGGATTCTTAGTTGCTACTTGGTGTTCTTTTGGAAATTGGAATTTGAGTTATGCAACTATATTAGCGAAGGGATTGGCAAAAAGACCAATTGATTGCTTTTATCTTTGGTTGATAATGGGTATTACTCTAATAAATGCTATAAAGGGAATTTTGAATGTTTGGAGCTTAATCACAGTCGAATGTTTATTTTAAGGATGAAGGGGCAATTTGGTCAAAATCTGTTTTGGTTGACTTTCAAACATTTTTTATTTTTTTTCTGAATACTTGGAGATTGAATAGCATGGATATGGCTTGGTCTAGCAATTGCATCTGTAATTGGACCAATTTCTTCCGGAGATGGATAGTGAAATTTTAATTGAAGGGTATTTATGTCATCATGTGAAAATTAAGAAAGGAAAGTTTTTTTTTCTTGGAAGTTGGTATCTCTCTGATTTGATTTTCATTTGCCTACATAATAAGAGAGTTAGTACTCACCTCCTTGATCTTGAAAATTAGCTAGCATGAGCAAGATGAATCATTTCCTTTCCGAGAACCTACAAAAAAATTATAACATTATTTAGCTTGTGTTTGTTTTATTAATCTTATAAAACTTATGTACATATTTCCTAATTTTCTCTTTAATTGTAGTCCTCTGTTTGGGATATGTTTTCTTACCTTTCAACCCATTATTAAATTTTGATAAAATTATATTGTCAATATAAATCATGTGGTTAGATACATATAATCACATGTGATTAGATATATTTAATCTAATGTGATTATATATATATATATATATATATATATATATATATATATATATATATATATATATATATATATATATATATTTAATCGCATATGTCATTATCGCGTTCTCGATTCAATAATTATTTTTTGTCAACTTTAATCATATGTGATTAGATACATATAATCACATATGATTGTATGTATTCAATCACGTATGATTTATATGAACGATGTTCATTTTTGAGTTTTCATTTCAATAAATTTTTCTCATATATTTAATCATATGTGATTATAAGTATTTAATCACATATGATTAACGTGGACACAGATTTGTTTTAATGCTCTTGATTCAATAATTGTTCTCATTTATATAGTTACATGTTATTATATATATATATATATATCTATATATATATATATATATATATATATATATATATATATATATATATATATATATAGGGAAGGGTTATTTGGAAAACAAAAAAACTCTAAAAAAACCCTAAAAATCATAAAAAATGCATAAAAAAAATACCTAGACATTACAAAACTTTTTTTTGAATTTTTTTATCAAAAAATCGCAGCCTTTTTGACAATTTCGCTGAAAAAAAAAATCAATTTTTTTTTTTTTTTTGTAAAAAAAAAAATTTTTTCAAAAAAATTTTCAGCGATTATATGTTAAAAGCTGCGATTTTTTGATAAAAAAGTTTTGTGATTTCTAGGTATTTTTTATGCATTTTTCTCGATTCAATAATTTTCTAGTGTATTTAATTAAATGTGTTAAAAGGAAAATGTCACACCACTGATCCCCGTGGTTTGCAAAATTACATGAAAGGTCCTCCTGCCGTTAAATCTAACTTTTCAGCCGTTAGATTTTAATAAAAAAGACTATTTTACCCTTGTACCAAATTTGCAATATACTACAAACCTCAAGGACCATTTGTGTAATTTTGTAAATTTGAAATTTTGTATCTATAAAAATTATAAATATAAATTTGATATAGAATGTATGGTTCTTGATTCAATAACTTTTCTCATGTATTAAAAGATTTTCTCTAATAGTTAACCTTTTCAAAACTTTTTTTTAAATTAACTAATTTATTCTTATCTATCTTAAATGTTATAAAAATCTCCCTCATATAATGTGTAATCGTTTTAAACATACGTTAATTTTATTTTTTAAATAACATTTGCTGACATTAGTATTTACGTAAATAAATACATAACCATACAATATTATATTACAATAGTTGAAAAGATCTTCCAGACTTGGCCCAAGGAGGTCAATCACCATGATATTGTACTCAAATCTCAATTCCAACTACTTAAGACTAGGTACTCCTGCTTTATTAACAAGATAAACAAATTTTTATTTTATTTTTCTATTTCTTTTTGCCGCAATTAGATTTGAGCATTTGAGTGAGAAAGACTTACTTCTTCTCTGGAGAATCATATATACTTTTTGATTTATAATGAAGTTGAGGATGGTTTGTCTTCGTGGGTTCCTGGGAATGAAGAAAAAACAGGCTAGTTAATGGATTAATCAAGCCATCATAACATCCAAAACCAAAGGTAAAAATCAATCAAATACCAGTTTAACGCCCACTTTGAAATATTAACTTTGACAACCATAATAGACTCTCAAACGATAACTAAACCATAACAGACTTTCAAACAAAGGATGGAAAAAAACATAACTTTTCAAGAAACCTATTTTCCACCAACACTGTAAATCAAGGAGCATTCACATCTCCTTTGGCACAAGCTTACCAATCAACTTCAGCATAGGAACATCTAGTGATCAAGCATTGATCAGTCCAAGTAACATTGATAAAGTTGAAGCATCAAGTGAGAAATCTTTTACTTCCATTTCCAATAAAAGCATCTCTAACTGACAAAAACTTACCTAAGCCTCAAGAAACAGAAAATTTAAATTTATAGTAATTCTTTAAAAAAAATATAAAGAAATTTAATTGAAGTTTTGAGTTTTTTAAAATGATGTATATAAAAATTGGTTAAGTTACAAATTATCACTCCACTAAAAACACACTTATGCATGGATTGAAAACCAGTGAAACAGACTAGATAAGGAATCCCATTCCTGTGGGAATTGTCAATTCATTCCGTTGGACAAAACCAACATTTTTTTAAGTTCCATTCCTTTGTTGATCCCATCCTACCAATCACTACATTACAGTACCTTGATGTTGATGCCCACATACATACTTTGACACAAGGAATCAACTCTCCCAAAGCATCCAAAATCTGTAAAGCATGAATAGATTAAAAAACAACCATAACTACAAATACATATATCATGATTTATGAGTAGTAGTATCTGTTGAATAAGTAAAATTAATCCATGTTTTTTGTGGTTTGGGGGAATGATATGAAGAGTATGAAAGATATAACAAGTACGTGTGCAAGGGGATTAACTGAGACCTCTAGATTGAAAAATCCAAAAAATAGGGAAGGCCTAAAATCGAATTTGTAATCTTTGAGTTCAAAGGAATATGCAACACCAGCTGGTAGATCATGACTTTTGAGAACTATCACCAGTACCACTACCTATAACATCTGCTTATGGCTTCCCAAGATAGAACATATATATGATTTATAATAGTTTTCACATATGTTGTTGCATACCGGTACTATGACAGAAGGTAAATTACTCAATTTGGTAAAACACTCAACAAAATTAGGGATTGTGTACTTTTACGAACACATAGATTGCTCCCAAATAGAAATTAGAATTGTAGAATGATAATTTAGTCAGACCTGGGAAGGATTTTAGTTGTATAATTGTAGATGAGGAGAATGAAGATGACGATGAAGATGTATCCCAGAGCCTTGGCCATTGATGATTCCTTACTAGCATTACATCATCCTTTTCTCCATATTTGAATGCTTCAGTCTCCATATTTGAACGC